CCCCCCCCCCCGTTGCCCCGGTTTGAACGATCTATTCCGACGATTTCTCCTCGACTCAGCCAAATCAACGGAACGTATGCAGAGAAACTATTCAATTCAAACGACTATCAACAAATTGGAAAAATCCTGGCATCCTCTTCCGTTGTGAAAACTGTGCGATCATTTCTTCGCGTTCTTCCAACCCCATCAAGAACAATTAATTTGCCACAATGTTAGAAATATTTCGATTCGAAAATTTATAAAGTTAATAGAACTTTGACGAGGAGACAAGATATATTTCCAATATTCTCCTTGTAGAAAAGATTGCAAACGAAGCAAGCTGATTCTTAATGGGTTTCAACAAGTTTCGCATCATTCGGTTGATACTTTCGTACGACCGCAACAATTCGATGCTACGGGGAATGAAACTTAAGAGCATTTTTTGCTTGATAGGTAAGTGCATGCATAACGTACATAAATTTACATACATTGTTCGCAATATTGTTTGCAACATCTAGAAACTCTGAGAGTCTCAACTGCGAGATTCGAGTATATTATTCCATAATATTCTGCGAGCGTTAAATCAAAATGGCGTGTCTGCGACTTTCTTCAACTTTGAATGAAATCATTATGTGCCAGGCATGAAAATAGGCAATATTGTAAGAAGGAATTTGTCAAACCAGGCAAAATGTTCTCAGCACGAAGAAGATCGCAAGCCACCATCGAGAGGAATAGCCCCGTTTAATTTGCAAACTAAAGTTGCAACGGCATAAATTGACGAATCGTCCGTGACCGAAAGGCGCGAGAAATCGACAGATTTCGCCGACAAATCGGCGCGGGGTCGAGAGCCGATTGCAAGGTGCACGGCCGTTTTATTCAGGCGGCGTGCACGCCTCGGAATAATGTGGCATCGTGCAGCACGCGTGGAATATCAATCGCGATCTATGGATCGTCTAGAACGTGCCGTGCTTCCAATCCTGTCTGTTCCGCAAGGCGATTTTTTTTCGCTACGCCTGCTGGCTTTTTCACATCCCCTCGACGCACGCGACCAACCGATCGCACCCTAAACTACACCTCAGGCTCGTAATACCGTGAACCGTTAACCCCATCCTAACGAAATATTAATTTGAAACTTTCAAAAGAAAGAATTCTTTATTTTTTTCGATTTTACACGACAATACGAAACCTTCTAATTCTTGATGGGAAGAACTTTTGTAAAAGGCACGAGCTTGTTAGAATTTTCTGCAGCGATCAATAAGATTAATGTTCTCTGCTTTAATTTTCATTAACTGTATGATAGTATGAAATTAAGATTTTTCCAATTGGTACTTGATTTCAAGGAACCTGTTTATTTATAGTAGAAAAGATTTATCCACCCTGATATCACGTAAGAATAAAAATCCAAATAGAAAATATTGTTACTACACCTCTACTTTTTCACAGGATCACTTTAACCCTCTGACATACAATGACGTCTGGGAGACATCATGCGTTTCCTAAGGATTATTGAACTATTAATTTGTTCTTTCATCATTCTTTTTTTTTTTTTTATTAATTTTGTTTATAAGCATTGTGTTTACGACATTTTGCGGCAATATATAAATATAATGAAGAGTAGAGAAATTATCTCTGTTAAGTTTACAACACAAACGTTAAAATGAAAGATAAGTATTATCTTTTGGTCACATAGAATTTCACTTAATTCATGTGTCAAGGTGTTAATAAGCTTCTTCGAGCTAAGGCAAAATTCATTCCAATTTCAGTTATTGTATTACTGACACCGACCAAGCCATTTATATGTGTAAATTATATTTGTAAGATCGAGTCGCACGATTCATCATTTTACATTCTTTATTCATCCACGTTCTACCCTGTCGCACGGATCATGAAAAAGAAACCGGTCTAAATTGTGGGCGACAAAAGATCTCTGGCTCACGGATAGAAGATGTAATCCCACGCTACGGGCGTCATTAATATACATCAATTTCGGGCTTCCCGACAGACGGCCGACAAGTGCTGGAAACACGTTTCAGAATTTCAATGGCAAAGACTTTCCATCGAGTATTTCCTTCGTCTCACAACGATCGTTCGATAATATTACCCGCTTCAGTACATGCAGGCAAATCTACAATTTCTTTTTTTTCTTTTTTTCTCTATCTTTCGAATTATCTTCGGAATTAGCTAGAGCCAAGAACTTTGAACGTTTCTCGAACAATTTTAGTTCCATTTTTATATGTAGAATACACTCATTTTTCCTTTTTTTTTTTAAAATAGTGTATTAGGCAGTCCTCGTTTGATTAACTTGATTCGTAGATTTTCTTTCACCTTTTTAATTTAAGCCAAGAATTTGTTTCTCGACGATTTCAGTTTTTATTCTCATATGTAGAATAGATCTATTAGACTCGTCTTCGTTTAATTAACGTCATTTTCCATTATTCGTAGATACAGAGAATCAGCTTCTTCTGTGGAGATCTTTCAACCTGAAATTCAGAGATCTCACAACCTGAAATCTCTACGTTCGATCAAATACAATTCACACGGAACACCCTGTAGATATTGAAAGAAAAAAAGATAGACGACCGTGTGCAACGTCATGGGGGTCAGCAGGCGACCAGCTGTCTCGCCAATAGAACTTATACATTTAAATATACATACATACTTATCTTACAACTTATACATTTAAACATATATACTTATCTTCAAACGATTTCACGTTATTGTCATAACTCATTATTGAAAAAAATGGCAGTACATACTTCGTTTTACATCACTCGTAAAATGGGTGTGAAGACAGGAATATTATTTTCGATGAAATATCTCAACTCCAAAACACGGTGCCACGTTTCATTAGAATTTCAAAGTTGAATGCCATGACCACGGCGAATCGAAGATTAGTAAAAACACGTAATTCGAGTAAATGTTAATACTTGTAAATTTGTCAATATTCGTTACTGCAATGGTGTGAAGGAATTAATGCAACACAAAGCATACAAAGATTATTTTATTTATAACATGTGTGCGTAAATATTATTCGCGCATATTGTGATACATCGTGTTAAAAACACTGCAAACAAAGAAAAGGTAAATCGATACAGTCTTCAAAATGTGACGACAATTTCCTGCTTTTGCTTCGAATTTTTTTCATAACACTTTCTTCACAAAATCGCTGCTCGATTCTGCTCTTTCTCGGCCACTTTTTTCATTTCACTTGGCACAGTTTCCTCTGTAATAGGCCTGCACGTGAAGGAATGCAACCCTCAGTTTCACTATATAGTGAAAATAAAATAAAATATCGCAGAAAATAAATTCACCAAACATGTTCCTATGCTTCAACTTACCGGTTACAGATAATAATTTCAACATATTGCATAATAAGAAACTCAGCGTGGCATTCAACGTGTTAAATGACAATTACAATCGAACTCGATTTCTCGATTGATTCCCTTCAACGAACGACTGATGGTTAATTCTGTAACACTAATCGATCACCGATTAATTCCCCTCAATCAACGAACGACGATTAATTCCACTTCCGATCGACGATCTTCTTTCTTCCACGATTCACTTTATCGATCAGATAAAAAAGAAAATCCCAATCGATCAACAGGCAACTATGGCGGCGGCGCGGTTTCACCCTTCAAACGTGCTCCTTACGTAATTCGGGGCGACGCACAGAGGGGAGAGTCGCGCTTAAAAATAAACCGGTGAATAAGACCTGCTGGTGCACGGTTGCGCGGTGTCAACAGCTACAAGGGATTTATGGACGCGTTGCTTTTCGAGGAAAGTCTAATGACACAACGTTATGCAACCAGGCTTCTTGCGTTGCGACGCTTCTTAAAGAGGTCAACCACGACGACGACGACGTGATAAAACGATTGACTCTGCGCTTCCCTCTGCCAGAAACGGTGATTATCACTATCGTTCTCTTGGAGGACAACTCGAAGACTCGGTTGCCGATTGGTTATTGGCGGATTGGATATTTGCGCACGTGTGTACAGTGTATAAAATATTCGGTGAAAAATGATCGATACCTGCGAAAGCAGTTAAGGAAGTTAAGGATCGTTGAACTTTTTCGAGAAATGTTCTCTTCGACCCCTTTGAGCCACACAATTTTCCTTCCAATTTTCTTAGATAAATATTATTCAAGTTGTAACATTATTTTAGAAACGTTGGAGCATTACTTGAAATTTATACTGATTGGTATTAATTATGGAGGAATTTGAATTTAAATTTCGAATTAAAATATCATTGCAGAATTGCAAGTTCACTTTTCTTTTTTTTCCAATCGAAACCATAATTTATACCACGAGTGTGTGGCTCGATGTTACGAGACAAGGGGTTAAAAATGAAAGTTTAGAAGACAGGGTATAGAAATAAAATTGTCTGTCTTCAAAACGAGGCCAATTGAATTGTTATACGGTTATTTCCATTTTTTTCTTTTTTTTTTTTCCAATATCAAATACAGACAATTTTTCATCGGGTCTGACGAAAAGTATCCTGGGAGGTTTGATAAAAAAGTATGGAAAATTTTGAGAACAAGAAGTAAAGTAAATTTACTTGAGGTTCGTGAGAACGCGGCAATAATTCAGGATAAACAGATCGATATTATCGTTCGAGGAATTGATGTTACTGATACAAGTAAAGTCGTCGACTTGTATCAGTAACGATAAGATAACCGCGAGGTGAACCTTCAA